AACTCGCTCTGAGAATTTTTGCAGCAACGCAGATATTTAAAGGAAAATTTTAGATGGATATATTATAATTAAGATATGCGTATACAAATAAAAATACTTTTTCAATGAGCTATTGGCTGAAATATTTCTGTTCTGATTGTATTATTAGTATTCTTTAATTTTAATGTATTTAATACTTTTATGAATAATGAAAATTACATTTATTATTTCGAGAAATTCAATGGAATATTGTTCCTAATGTTCCAATGTTCCTTATTTACATATTCACAATATATTATAAATTATAATAAAATATTCACGTCCATTTGGTCCTGATATTTAACTTGTTAAGATTAATTTAATGTATATACATTTAATTAATACATACTTTTATTATTAATATTTTGTATTATCTTTCAGGTAACTAGCCTTCTGTTAGAAGCAGAACGTCGAAAACTGAACGTTCTGCAGAAGGAACTTCAAGTTGCACTCGAAGAAGGAGGCTCAATTAAAGCAAAGGAGCACCAAAAACAGGAATTACTAATTGCCATAACGTAAGTCTACTCTTCAGCAAAATAAAAATTATATTTTTGATATACAGTATATTCCGAATAAAATACACAAGAAAAATTATGTATAACGTTTCAAATAAAACTAAATATAGATTGTTAAGGAGATGATTTGCACAAAATGAAATAATTAGTTTATTATTTATGATACATCATTCTCCTTTTTATTCATTTATGGCTGTCTTCTTGTGGATTTTGTGGAAATATGTTTGGAAGGACTTTTAAACTTAGCACACAAAAAAATCACACATAATGTATGCTTATTCCGGGACTTTTCTTCTCCTTTGTTACAATTAGTTTTGCTCGTTAAACGCAATACTCGTTGTGCGAGGTGCTCGTTAAGCGCGGTTCCACTGTATATGTTAAAGTGATCTATGTAGATATGTTAATGTTACTTCGTTAAGAAGTTAACTACGAATGCATAATAAGCGCTAAACGAGGTCTTACTGCACTTTATACGGATAAAATAATATTATTAATATGTTAATATATTTATCTCATAAAATAAAATGTATTAAATAATAAAGAAAATTGAACTTAATTGCAAATATTATTGATAATATTCCATGAGCTCATTGCAATAATGTATGTGTTTTAAGATTATTTTTTTTGTAATTATGTTTATTATTTTATAGTTGTTACAATAAATATTATTGTCGAATTAAATAATTTTCACTAAAATCTGACTTCGCAGTCAGGCAACTACCCTACCACTGCAGTAGTCTGTACTGCATACATCGCAATAATATTCAAAACTTAATTTTCTAATAAGAGTGTTTATTTTTAGTTTGACTATTCTTTTATTTAATTTTAGACGAATTCAAGGCCAATATAATCATCTAGACAAGGAATATAGGGATCATGCATTGGGAGCTCTTTTGTCTGCAAATACAAGAGGATCTGGAAAAGTAAGTTATTCCTAATATCTTGAAAAAAATGATGATGAATTTCTTCAAATAAATTTAGCAAAAAATAAAGTTGACTAAACATATTTCATTTTCTTTTTATGGCTAAAATTGATTTGAATTGATTTTTTGATTGAACTGGTCTAGTAATCTAATATAAGCAGTATTTTCTGCTAGTGCTTTTTTCTGGAGTGTTATGCTTAGGGGTGATTGTCTGTCTGCAAATACAAGAGGATCTGGAAAAGTAAATAAATTAAGCAATAAATTTAGCAAAAAATAAAGTTGACTAAACATATTTCATTTTCTTTTTATGGCTAAAATTGATTTCTATTTATATTAAATTTATTTAAATTATGTCAGTTTAAATATAAATTCTACTGTTTCCAACTATGGAGATTTTAAACTGTTGTCTATTTTTGTGCTTTATTATTCATCGAATTCTGTGAATTGCATTTGTTGATACATTTCTCAATTCTTCAAGTTTTTTCTTGATTCCATAATATATTATATGGTCTAAAATGCATTATCGTCTTTTGTCACTGAAATAATAGTATGTGAAATGGAGATAAACTGGTTACTGCTGTGAATAACATTGGAATTTTATTTGTTTTTAATTATTACGGCTCTATTTCTGCCACTGTTGCTTATCACAACCTTAAAAAATGCAATGATTTTGTTTAATACGCCATTTAAATTAATATTAATTCTTATATTTATTATCCATATTTTTGATAATATTGTATAAGATTAATTAATAGTTTACTTACTCAAGACAGGGATGGATATAGCCATAGTCTTTATGAGGATTAGAATTTTTAGAAAAAAAAATCGGATTTAATAAACTTTATTAATTTTATAAAATATTACATAGCAGATATATTAGCGGATACCGGTATGAGCTTTAGCCTATTGTGGCCTTCCGAAGTTTACAGATGGATACACAAAAATAGAAATAATAGTATGACAAAAATACAAGATGAATCACAATAAAAAAAATTATACTTCCATCTCCATCATTATTTTTTCACCCACAAAAAAATATTTCAATTTGAATTCACTCCCTCCGTCATCTTTATACGGCCCTGGCACGGCCCTAAACAGTGTTAGCTGTCCTCTCCTGACTTAAGTATATTAATATTTTTTGAAAGAGATTTATATCAATTATTATTGATATACATTTCTTGGCTCTATTTCTACCCCCTTACGGTGTTTAAGAGCCTGCACAATTTTTTATTGGTTTTAAGGGTTCGAACCAACTTTTTCGTATCGTAATACAAGCGACTTAATTATCTTCTTCTTCTTTTCCTCTCCACACTTCACTTGACTTGCGCATCTTGCACAATTTCGCCAGCCACTGTCTTTATTAATTTGAGATTTCTTTACACTGGCCTAAGTTACTGGGGTCAGGGGGAAAAACATGTGGGACGACTACAATAATTAACAACTTTCGAATCGGGGTCTCAGCGATGCAGTACAACGGTGTTAGGGGAGACCTCGGATGGATATTGTTAATTGATTTTTGTGTTTAGGAGACTGTACGTGTATTTGGTGGTCTACAGCGCTACTTTTGAACTCTTAATAAATTTTAACGCCCGAATTGATGTCGGTAGCGGGACCTTGTTACTGATCAATTTCAGAGGCTGGTCGATATTGATTGCACGCAAAAGAAGATATGATCTCAAACGACTGGACTTAATTATCTATGCAAGAAATTTTAATTTTGAATTATTAACGGTGTTTTCAAAATTATATGTTATAATACACAAGAGTAACATGGGTTGCCTGTATTACTTGCATGAACTGTACTGCGCTCTGTTTATTTCTTAAATTTGAATAATTTGATGAAATATATTTGTATGAATTAATAAAATAATTATTTCCTTACATTATCTTAATAGTAACATATCAATCATAGATTTCATATAAAAAATATAACAGTCATAACAGAATATATAAATGTTAACCTTGGAAATTTACCTGACACATATTTATGATAATAATAACAAACCGTATACATTTCATATTTCATGGAAGTAATATATACGTGTTTCAATAATTTTATTGGCATATATAAACTAAATAAACTATAATTTAATGTTATAAACCTAAGATAATTTGGTTTTACAGAAAATAACAAAAATGAGGTCTAAATGAACAAGGAGTAATAATTGTAATGTAAAAATTCTGTCATACAATTTTTACAAATCACATTTTTTGTTTTACTATAATTAAATTGAGATTTATTATACTATAATATATTTTATGTAGAATTTCGTAATATTAATTTGTCTTAATAACAACAAAGGTTTTTTTTTTAAATATGACTAAATATGCACTTGCATTATGTTGTAATAACTAGGGTTACGTCCCGTTTTTTAGAATTTGTCCCTATTTTTGGTTAGATGTCCCGGTGTCGCCAAAATGTATTTTTGGGACCATTGTATTTAAATTAATAACAGAAAAATTAAATCTATTGAATAATTCATGTTCCGATTTTTGATTGAACTGGTCTAGTAATCTAATGTAAGCAGTATTTTCTGCTAGTGCTTTTTTTCTGGAGTGTTATGCTTAGGGGTGATTGTATGTAGTGTTAATCCTACAAATTCTAAATATTGTCTATCTATGTACTATCTGCTAGACACGTATATTAATAAATCAATAGTATTGTCAATTACTGTATAAATACTATAATTGAAATTATCCTTTGTGCATGTGTATTATAAATTAATTAAAATCTAATGCGGATTACATTATGAAATAATACACCTAATGGTTTTAATCTTTTGTCGGTTTTGTGGTTGTTAAATTGGAAAAGGTTCAGTGATCGAAAAATGCTTTTAAACCTCCCCGGACTAAATAAATTGCCCCACGTTGGTAGCCGAGCGCGCGCGGATTTGTAGTTGTGCACATGCCATTAAATAATAATGAAATTATTGTGTTTGCGAGTGGGAATGACACGGTAATCGAGTTTATAAACTGAATTGAGCTAGACCGAAGAGGATTGCATCGCTCCGACAAATGAATTATATATTACGTAGGAAATAATTAAAATATGTGGATATGTGTATATTTGTTGCAACATTTTGCCAAACATGAATTATGTACGGAAAGACAAATTGAAGTAATCTACGAGATAGAGAACTGTTGCGTTTCCAAAGTGGATCCTAGTTTATTCATGAAGACTCCCGTCTCCGTCCATTTACGGGATGAGCCTTCGCCTGAAGGGCATTAATCTCCATTCGCGAAGATTAAACTTTGCACAGCCCGACAGCAATTATGCGTCTTAATTGTTATGATTTTACTCCTTACGATTCGGTAATGAAAGGGAAAATGAGACGGAAAAAATCGAGGGGGGATGATGTGAGTGCACTTTTTTTTGCATCCGTAGTAAAGTGGGGTGAGCTATTGTATCGCTAAGGGTTGAATGGTTGCACCTTTGTAATACTACTGCGGAGGTTATCGAACGCGACGCCGAGCGCCGCGCCGCCCTACGACGCCGCCGCAAGCTCACCCTCTCTCACCCTCGCGAAAGGGAGTCGACCTAAACAACAACCCAACGTGTTCCTAAATGTGGCACTACTGCGGCAACAGCACGAAACGGTGTCGATAAATAAAACATCTTCGTAGATCAAAGAACAAAAAAACAACAACAAAAACTAACATATTCATATTGTTATGCTGTGATCTTGTGCGAGTGGAATTGAATGTTCAGATGGATATTTGGAGAAGAATTGTGTCCCCAATTTCATGATAAGAACACGTAAGAAATCGAAATGACCGAAAGGCCAGAGAAACCTAAGATACTAGGCCCAAAGCCGACGATCGCCTCGAAACCAAAGCACGTCCCGCCCGTAAACCTGAAAACCCCAAAGTCGAACGTGGAGCGCTTCTCCGCGCACTTCTCCGTCGACAGCTACCAGAGACCTTCCTACTATGACCAGACGGATAAGAATGGTGCGAAGGCGCCGAACTCCCCGAGCACGGTATGTTGCAGCATCCTCTCGCAAACCGCAAACGATTGCTGCGGCGTCATCCAAGCAAAAAAGGAATTGAACGGAGGTAAGACTTTGACCAAGAACGAGTCCCTGGACTCGAACAGCTCGGACTCGGGCGGCTTCAAGGACTTCGTGCAGCTAGAACTGCCGTCCGAAACGAAGACGCACCAGAGGAAGATCTCGCAACCGGAGTTCAAAACTACGACTCCTCACACCCACCACAGACAAGCTTCGCAACCGGAGCAAACCTTCCAGAAGCCGAGCGCACAGGTGCTGGCCTCGTTCCTTCCACCTGCAGTACCGGAACCGAGCTTCCCCAAACCGGGCAAACTGAATATGGTCGCGCAAACCAGCCAAATGCTCTTCGAACGCGCTGAGGAAAGACCTAAACCAAAACCATTATTAATATCACAAGGACAATTCCAACAATCCACTAAGAAACTGGAGGAACTGCTCTCGCAACGTCTCGCCGCCGACAAGCTTACTCGCTTAAACCCCACGTGCTTGTTAGATGGGGAATCCAGCACGGACATCGAGCAGAAGATGCTCGTACAAAAACAGATCCAACAGAAGCTTCAGGTAGATCTGAAGCAGACCGTGAAACAAATTCAGGAGATCCAGAGCATCGAGTATCGGCTGCCGCAGAACCGGAAGTGGAACGAGGTCAGTGGGGAATCGAATCTGCTTCTGTTCTATTTCGTTACAGATATTAATAACTCGCAAAACTACGTTTTATTATTTTTGTTCTGTTTTTTTTATTCCACTCTATTTCTAGATTACAGAATCGAACGGTAATGATCGTGAATAATATCACTAAATATTTCAAGGCCTTGCCCGAGAGTAGCAAGCCGGTTGCGTGTGCACAATAAATAATACATGCGTTACAACCACGCCGCATTGCGTAACACCTCGGTGTTTGTAAACAAAATTCTTTTTTTTGGCGCTCCGTTCCCATTCATTCATTGATATTCTGTAGCAGAGACACGGGTAAAGCGCACGAGTTATTTAGTTTATTTAGAGAGAAAGACTATAAAAAAAGCGATAATCTTCTCCGCGTAAATTCTCTTTTGTTTAGAACACGAGCTTCTTACCAAGCAGCCTGAACTATTTACGCATTGTATTTAAATTCACAAATAAAACATGCTATGAACCAAATCCATGTATAATTAGTTTTTATTCTTTTTGGAACAGTATTACTTATACATTTCATTTAAACTACAATTTATCAAAAAAAGAACATAAACTTCACTTATTTATTACATTTTATAAAATAAAATGCAAACTGCACGTGGTATCCATTATTTGTTTGTTGCCGTTGTCTAAGAATCCCTTGTAGCTAAGCGACAACAATATAAATGTGCATAATATTTTTAAATAGCAATGTCATGCAAATATTGTGAATAAAAATATGGATTAATTTTGATGACATATCAAAAATTTCATGAATAAAATTACATAACAGTTTTTTTTATTCGCAATATATTATTTTGTCAATATGTGAAAAAAATATTGAGTTCAACATATTTGACTTTCTTTAATATGAATATTTTTAAAATCAGTTGAACATGAAATAATCTACGTGAGAATATTTAGTGATAACTTACAAAAAATCTTAAAACAATACTTATTATTAGTAAAATATGGTTATAATATGTTATATTATTTATATTATTTGATCTGAATGTTGGAAAATCTGAAATATATGAGTGTACTTATATATCATAATAACATATAACACAACACACAAAGTCAGTAATGTTGCAGTCAATATCATTTTAATTATGTAATTGGAAAACTTATTCACAGTATTTTTGTTTTTGATTATAAACTTTAGTCGATGATTATACAGATTGTTTTACCATTAGTATTCGTCGTATAGAACGTATGAAACCATTTTCATCAAATTACAAGTAACACATTACAAAGGTTTTACATTTTGATTATGAATGTATTGTCTACAAAATTATGTATTTTTTACTACCTTTATATTAATATAATATCTATCTCATTTAAAATACCATAAAATAATATTACATTACAATCAAAATATTAATAATTAATAAAATTGTTTCATGATTTTCGTTTACAAGACTATTATCTTAGTTCAAAGGTTCTTTAACAAAATATTATAATTTGCTTCCTGTAAATGTGGCCTTTCTCAATAGATAGATTTACAATTTGCATTTCAATATGTTTAACTTTTCATAAATACGTTACTATTTTATTGAAAGTAAATTATGATTAAGGATGCCTTTCCCATTTTCAATCTGATATTTAACGATTCATTTCATTTTACTCTAATACACCATTTTTTAGCCATTCATGGATTAAATGAAGGTCTTCCGAGAATCATAATATTATTATCTACATGTAAATAATTGAATAATGGCTGTAATATAAATTATATTACTTATTTATGCATTAAAAAGCATGAATAGTAAATATGATGGTATGGAATATAAAACATAATATATAATTACCGGAACTGATTCTATGATTTAATGGTCAAGACATTATCATTACGACAAATCACATAATTGCAATCATTCAATTGTCCTTCATACTTGAACAACAATGGAAGATGTACTGTATATTCATTTATCTCTATTCACTTACGACCACACATATTACACGCTCTTGTAAAAACCTTAATCTTATTCGAATGTAAATGAATCCATTCCAACGTCCTCTACGCACGATGATCAAGTATTAAACAGATCCATTACTCGGATCGACCTCGCTCATCGTCGACCACTTGAATTCCTTATGCAAGAGCCATCCATCAATTAAGCGTCCTCTTCGTTCGATTAATAAAATTAATATAAATCTGAGCCTGTTTCAATTGAATACAAAGTAAATCCCCGGAGATATATTAATTAAATTATCCGGCAATTAGTATTCATGCCGAATAATGGATGGATGGAAGTATGAATCGTATATAAATCAGACGACAACGTCGTTTTATAGTTTGTTTTTTTTTATTTGGCGAGGGGACAGACGAAACAGTTAGGACCAATAAACCGTTTAAGAAATTGTATGCTGCATGTTTCGGACGTCGCGTGAGCAAACTTAATTTTCGTCTAGGATCAATAGCCCTGAAAGAAAGAAAGTAAATTAGATAACAACACCGACGAGGAACGTAATCCCGTGCTGGGGGTTGTAAATAATAGGGGAATGTTAGCCTTGAAATATGGTAGGGAAATTCAAGAAATGTAAGAAAGTAAATTATACCTTACTGTATATATGCAAGTGAGTCATTTAGATTAATTCTACTGGAGCAGTATTTCTTCATCAACAGTAATTTATATATACAGATATGCGTATAGGAATGACAACTGTCTTCTCTTCCATAACGAAACCACAAACTTTACAAAAATATTTTAAAGAACTATAGTATTTTTTGGACTATAAGACTCACTATTTCTCGTAGAGAAATTGATCTAGAATGGAAAATATGGTAATCCACATCAATAATTACATTCACAATAAATTTTGATAAAAATTGGTATTTACCAAACTTATAACTTTTCATACGACTTGTTTAGATATATTTTCATTTTTATAATAATACTAGCAAGATTTTGGTTTAAATAATATTTAATGTTTGTATTGAAATGCAAAAACTATTACCATTTATACATTTTATAATTACGGTACATAAAAGCATGACAAACTTATTAGAACTTGATACTACAAAAAGACTTCCGTTGTTTGATGTACGAAAAAGTTTAATAATCTTATTTGCATACTGTAAATAAAGTCTAAGTTGCAAGTATTAATTTATAATCCAGCGATTCTCAAAATTTTTGGTCCGCGACCCACTTTTGGACATAAAAAGTTTTTGCGACCCCCCGAAGAATGAGTATGTGGAGAAACACAACCAGAATTGATCTGTCATTATTTTTTTGCGACCCCCTAATATCTTACGAGACTCCCCTGCGGGGTCGCGACCCACACTTTGAGAATCACTGGTATAATGTAATTTAATTTAAATAATGACTATAATTACGTTAACATTAAAAAAAGATGAATCATTTTCATATGTTGGATAATTAACGAAAATAAGAAAAAAATTCGGCAGAAAGCAAAAAAAAACATAGTCGTTTTTCTTCTAGTTAAGTATCTTTGTGCGATTTCAAACAGTTCGGAATATTAGCGGAACCGTACTATGTGAGGTATTGCTGAATACTAATATGCATAGGAGGAAAACGTAGTATATCTATGTTTAATAAATTTGCAACTAGTTTACAAAATCAACAATCTTACAAATTAGTTATAACGCTACTTTCATCAACTAATTGCAAAGTCGTCCAAGGTTTGCATTAGCATTAGTTAACTAATCTATTTACATGTTAATGAATTCTATAAAGCACTTTATACCATAAAGTAATCTAAATCTCATCTTATGTTACTTCTCAATATATTTATTTAATATAAATTAAAACATAAATTGCAACTAAAGTAAAAAATACTAAATAATATAATTTGACAACTATAAAATCTGAAATGAAATGAATATCAATTCAATAAAAATTAAAAATGAGATACATCTACCCAAAGGGCTAACAACTATATTAATTTCATGAATTTTAAAAAGATTTTTTTCACATGTTTCAGTACATATGTTTTAATATTAGAACTCTTATAAAATAGATGTTTATTCATTGAAATACCAACAAATATTTCATAAATAATCATGTTTTTGTATAAAGATATCTGATGATATGCTTATGTAATGGAAACAACTATGGAATATATCTGATCTGTTAGATGTTCAACTACATCCACCACACGTAAATTGTTCACCCTTATGAATATATCTTAGAATTGATAATAAATTTGCAGGTCCCTAGGCATTCAAGTTTCTATTTGGTTCATTAACGGACATTTACATAAGACAAGTGAGATATTTCGATGTTAACAAGCGATTTAGCTGAATAGTTCCTAGTTCGCTTTTAATTAAATGTTAAATATTGACTTACAGTAGCTATGAAATAATTCATGTTATATCAACATATTAATAATTGTTAAATCACACGCTTATATGCATAATGTAAAGAGGTGTAATCTTATCGTTATGTAAGAGGAATTTCTGAATTATATATACAGACAAACTTCCATTAATGAGAAGGACGCGTTCCACGATTTTAGTTCCTGAAACTTAGTTTTCAGTGGTAAAAATATCTTTCGTAGAGAAAATGAAAAAAAAAATCGAACTAAAAAAAGTTTTATTATATAAACAGTCAAAATAAAATGATATACAAAATAGGAGTTGATTTTTTTCTCTTTCATTTAACTATTTATTACCTATGCTGAGTTATTATTTTAACTGATATTTCTTTATTATCCTCCAGTTAAATAATTGAAATTGCGGATTTGGTTATGTCAAAGCTTGGTTATCAGAAGTATTGTATAGTATAACTGAGTAATATTAATTAATTGTTATTTGTGTTGCTTTTTACAAATAATTACTATTAAATAAATTTATCGGAATTTGCACATTCGCACATTTGCTACTTGCTAGAAATTATAGAGTTTCGATAATGCATTTTTTTGTAAATATGTGCATGTTTAAAGCATATTTATGTCTAAATTTCTGTAGAATAAAATATGAATTATGATACATTACTTTTCATTTGTATGTATAGTGGAACCTCGCTTATCGAGTATAATCCGTTCCAAAATTTCCAAATTTTTTCTCGTATATTGAAACAATTTTCCCCATATAAATTAATGTAATATACGATAATGCATTCCATTTTGGAGTCATTTTTCTTACAAATTATTTTGCCCATTAAGCGACATTCTTGTTATGCGAGGTTCTCGTTAAGCGAGGTTCCCTGTATTTCTTATATTCTTTGTTAACGAACATTATGTATCATTTTATTAGGCTATGCTGTGCTTCGATGAGTACCAACCGAAATAACATATGTCACGATATTTCGTTACTTACGTTATATCGTAGACAAATTTGGAGTAATCTATAACTACTATGCATGTATAGTATTAATATAAAAGGAACGACACTAAACCATTCAATTTCTGTCATTTTTTGCGTATGTCATAGATTGTAAAAAAATCTCACATTGACGAAATATACAAGGTCACCTAAAAAATTGGAAAGTTACACCTTGTATTACAGTGTGCACTCACCTTTTCATATCATTGATTCATCGTAACTATAAAATAATTCGCTATAACGTTATACGTCTTAACCTACATTGTATTTAAGTGGTACTAAATAAATTGCAATGTATCAAAAATAGATGTGATGTTGCATTTATATTAGGCAACGTAAAATTTATAGACAGGTTTCAAGAAATAAAACTAATTCATGCATTTATATTGCAAAAATCATATAACAATTATTGACTTTGTTTTAACAACACTCTTTTTTATGCAGCATACAAATTTCGAGCATACAAAAAAAAAATCACTTGAAACTCAGCGTAACAGGGAAATTGCATATGGCAATGTACCTAGTTACAGTCAGACAGAAGTACGCTAAAGCAATTTTCGGCCTGCGAGTGAGTGAGTGGGTTTTCATTACTACCAACCCATGCATGTGTATAATTTTTTTTTTGGCTGCTCGCGTATATTTGCATTCATTATGCAACCGAAATTGCGACGCGCTGTAGGAAAATTGTAATAACGCCACGTACACATTTCCAAACAGGAAACGAATTTTCCAACCCTTATTAAATCCTCCCTCTTTCATTCAACCTAATTCAATCAGCGGGAAATTCAAATTCAATTTCCACTACCCAGCCATCAACGCTTCTCTCACCAAACAATTGACGAAAGAGCGTGAAATTGATTTTGATCTTGTCTCATTTTTTTCTTCTCGTTTGCAGAGCAATAGGAGCCAACCGGCCATCGGACTGAAGCACACGCCGAAAGCTCGTGTAAGTGATTTTGAACATTTCGATTCTTTATACATATTTTCTTTTCCAATTTAGGCCATTGCAATTACAGCGGTTTCGTAATGTGTTTTTATTTCGGTCTGTTATTTGTGTTTCATTTACAGGTTTATTGTTGTTGTTTCTTTAGTCTGTTTGATGTTTGCCGTTTTTTTTTTCGACGAACCTGTGGAATTCGTACGGTGTTAAATCACACTTTTAACGAACCGTCGAAATCACATTCATTCATTCGTGTTTGTATGTTAAAATTTTAAAAAATAAATAAAGAAACTATATTCTTCTGTTATTGCCATTAAAAACATTATTTAAATTATTTATTAAATTATTTTATAATGATATAGGATAACCCAACTAACAGGATAAATCTATAACCCTTAAAGAATTTAATTTGTATTGAATTATATTGTTATACAATAAATAACAACATATTATTGTTACAAAAAAAACCGGTGAAATAATTTCTGTAGCATTGATTATAAATTTAATAATATTATATTTCATTAGCATATCAAATTCAAAGCAAACAATATATGTACATATTTACTTATTTAATTAATTGATTTAATTACATTACTACAAATAATGATATCGATACTTGTTTAAAAGTTCTGCAAATATTAATAAAATTAATATATACAATAACACCCAGAAGTTAAATACAATCAATTTAGGGAATTTAATTTAATATATACATTACACTTTTATATACAATTTTGTTAACATATAGATTATCATCATAATTATCATTTTTAGTTAAATTTGTCAGTCTTATAGACAGATTTGCACTGTTTTATGAGAGTCCAATATTTCCGTTACATCAAGATCAAACGAAGAAAAAAAAACTGACATAGGTTTTTCTATATTCGAAAACATTATTTTACGAATTAAATATGATGCTCATATGAGGATGTTATAAAAGTTTTCAAGAAATCTATCATATTTATCAGATTGATTTGTTTCTTAGTCACGTTCAAATACATCAGAGGGTTTTTGTAATAGTCGTATTATTTATTTAAAATACTTAAAATATGAAGATAATGTGTATACGAAACAACGTAAACCGAGGTAACGTAAGTCGGGGTATTTCTGTTTGTATTTATGTGTGTACAAACATAATTATACATACATAACAAGAAGCAAGTAGAAAGGAAAATATGTGGAAATGCATACTGGAACGTAAATATAAATATCGGGTTTCATATTTAAGTAAATATTACATTGCCAATAAAAAAATTCTAATAATAAGCAAACTTGTCTCAAATAAAAGAGAAACTATAATAGCTTCTGATAAATTTCAAAGTAAATTCCATTTTATGTCTGGACAAATTAACCAAAATTAACATTGAAATACATACCTCGGTTCACTTCACCTCTGACAACGAAACTTTAGTATATCCGCAAAATATGCACAGAATTTATATTCGAAGAAGAAAATAACATCCAAGATGATTGAGTCATAGGTTTTGAAAAAGTCAATGAAGAGGATGTTAGAAATTTGTTAAATTCAGAATTTTATGGTTTTTCTGTTGAAGATTTAGAAAACCTTGTTAGCAAATAAGATAAAGAAAATGAAGACGAAATTATAGAAGTTCCTCCAAAATTAAAGATTCAAACCAAAGAATTAAATAACGTTGGAAACGTATTTTTAGCAATGAAAAATTTATCGAAGTATGAATTAATCAATTAAAAATTGGTCACAATTACTTGTGTATTGTAAAGCGATAAAATTGTAACGTTTTTCGTAATTACTTTGGAAATAGTAATTTTATACATCAACTCTATTTTAATGTATTGATAACTTTATGAGTATTAGTAATTATAATTTACTTGAATGATAGACAACTTTATTTTTAATTAAAATCTTTCAACATCAATTAAGATAGAAATGTTAACCATTAACAGTATTCATTAAATCGATGATCTATTTATAACGCAGAGTAAATATTTGAATGAAACGTTAATGCGATGTGTTATAGATTTGTTGGCTGCAAATCAAAATGTGCAAGAGCGAATTCCAATATCTCAATTAATTCAAAACAAAAATATTATTTATGATAAATATTGCATCATATGATAAAGATCAGTATAGGACGTATAAAGATTGTATTTTCACATGATTCTCAAAAAATCGAAATTTGTCGTATCAAAACAATACTTTATTTGAGAATTTACAAGTTCCTTGATTAACATAATTGTTCTCGAAGTTAGTGTGTACATAATTTCTCGCATATTGAAAGATTTGTATCTTAAAATGTCTTTTAGCTATTTTTATTTATTAAACATCACTTATAATATAATGAGAAGCCATATTTTTGTATGACTTTTGTTGCGAATAAAAATTGTTTTTAAATATTAGAAGTCACCGTACTTAATATGTCAGAACGCGTATGCACTAAGCGAAACTGCATAAGTTACCTCCCAAGAATAGCATAGTATGTACGCACCATTACGGATCTTTTTATATACGGTACATTAGTATTTCTTCCAAGTAAAGTGATTGAAATTTAAAATATAATATAATATTATATTTCTTTGCTATAAAAATATTATATATAAACCAGATCATTATGATAACTAAATCATGTTTTTGTACAAAACTGGCTTACTTTATTGGAACTTGGCTGCAATACCCCCATCCGTCATAGACCTATCACGTGCAGATAACCCATTTAATCCGGACAAAAAGTAATTTCCTCGTCAGCGTTTTAATACAACTTAAAAAAATAATGTTAGTATAAATAATATTTAATAAATTGGCTTATGTTAACTATATTATTTTTTTTTATTGCTTTGAATAGTTTGCTTACGTAATGTTTTTTTTTAATTTACCTCATTTAAATGAAGAAAAAATAGAGCATAATAAGAAATATAAGATACGAAATTTTATTGAAATACATGTTGCCTATTAACATGGTCAAATCTGAATGGACGAAGTAAACATATAGAAAGGAATTCAATTGGCGTATTAAATAACACTCTACTACCCAAAAGTGGATTATCCCAGTGAAGATGATCTTATTTTTTAGTACGTTTCAGAAGTTTGCCGTTTTTTGAATAATTTATAAGACTAGTACGAAAATTCACGATGTATTTTACTGAGTAACTAAACAATAAGATGAATGTGACAGATTTCTGCAAAACTTTTATCGTTATGGATGTTATGTATAAAAATTGTACAATCAGTTTTTTTTCCATGTTTTTTAAGATTGCAAAAAGTTCATTTGGTACAGTGATATAAAACAAACTATTTCTTATAATGATGAATAGTTATTAGAATAAATCAATGTATGAAACTATTAATGTATCCTCAACAGTAATATTTTATTAATTTGAATTAATATGGAAATGATGAAATATAAATAGATTAAAAGACAATTATATGAAATAATAATCTATAAATTTTTGTAAGTTGCAATGTGTTATTTTAATATATTAGATTTAGAGACAGGTTTAGTTTGGAATCGATGATTAAGCTTGGATATTTACATTTGTTGATAGATTAATGATGTTTAATTGTTAATTAAAAATTGAGGAACATGTGATGTGATATAAAAAATATTTAAGAAAGATGTGTGACAATATTACAAAAAATAATTTTATTGAATTAAATATTTTGATTTTGTCATTATTTTTTAAATTGTAATTTTATATTGCTTTTTTTTGTCAACTAACTAAAAATAATAATATGCAATAATAAAATGCAATAATCAACTCATGAATTATTCTTTTGTAAATTTAAAAATATAATACTCTTATATAAAGAGCAACCTACAAATAAATAGTTATTATTTTTCATAGGAAGTAAATGTAATCTTCTCCAAGCAAAGAATATGTTTCAATTTTAGAAATATTATTGCAGCATGATAAATATTTACTAAAAAAACATCTTAGAAAAATAGGGATCGATTCCTGTCAGAAACAGAACGTAAAGAATATGTTCTTTGAAAAGCGATACATTCGCAAAAGCTAGTGGACAGATTGAAATCTCAAAGAGAAATATTTATTCGGAACAGACTTCCAACCGATATAATATATAATATGTCTGTCTAAAAATCCAGCTGCAGTGTCGATGATAAAGGATGAAGTTATTAAAATTGCAACACCGAATAGATGTGCGTTGAAAATCAAAATAATTGTGATCTGTTTTTCTCTACGTTGTTGTTCATGCTTTAGTTATTATCCTACACATAATTTAGTTTGCAGCGTTCGGGCTGTGTAAAATCGATAATTCACTGAATTTATGGTGATTTCGTTAATTCGCACTACAAGTTCCCCAGCACCTGAAAAAAACTATATCGCTTCTGATTAATTTATTGGGCTTGATGTGTATTCGCAAATCCCGTTCATTCGAAAGTTCCACCAGCCCAACAATGTCGAAGGGCGACAATGCACCACCACAACTTTCTCGATTGTTTCCTTACACCAGGAACAAGTGAGATTACCCGACGGCCCTTTGTTCCAAACTAAACGCGACGTTTATTAAACTATTAATACCGAACCCTCGGAGTAGTTCCATCGCCCAATAGTTTGATTAAAAGTTAGAAATTCCCAATTTGTTTCGTTCAGAAATCGTCATTTGCGCAAACCAACCCGGCGGCTCGCGATAAGCCAACTGCATTTTTATGCTACAACCAACAGCAACGTTATATATTACCCAATCAAAGGCAACATTGTAAACAAATGCTAGTGATAATTGCTTCCAACAAAGACTCGAAATACCACACATACACACGAAACTCAACATTTCATTTTCGTTTTAAATATCTAAAACGCCACATCCTGTATACTACGCAATGATCTTTATAATCCTGTGAATGTGCTTATTAATAATTATTATTATAGTCATAGTTTTTTTTTCTGTGATTCAAATTAATTTAATGTATTTTTTTTTCAATATAATAATAGCATTTTTCATGTAGTTTTTTTCGTGTGCTTTGAGCGTCGGTGCGCTCTATATATCTCCTCTTTAGAAGCAATATCTCAAA